ATTATTTGCATCTGGACTATTGTCCCTGTCTTTGTTATCACAACATTTGTTGTGATAACAAAGACAGGTTGTTATGCTCTTAGGACTTCTTTAAGCATTTGACAATCCGAGTAACCTTTGTTAATAACAACAAAGAGGATAATAATTCCTCATTCCAGAAATTCTTTAAGTCTTTGTCCATCTGAGTAACCTTCAGGAACAATGTACATTCACATTAAATAAACCATTCAGTTTGAAATTCCCTGAAGGTTACCCAGATTGCCAAACACCCTGCGTTAATAACAACAAAGATGAGAATAATAGTCCAGATGTAAATTATAATTCCTCATTCCAGAAATTCAAACAGAAATGAATAAATTACTGACAAGATGAAACAAGTTTTGATTATAAGCTGAACATCAAACAAATTAAATTTTAATTAATGACATAATTTTTTCAGATTAAGTAAAAAAAGTGTCCTGAACTGTTATGTAATATCAGTCCTCCTATATGGCAGTGAATGCTGAACAATCCCCTCGCAGATGAAGAACACTTCAGGCATCAGAAATGTGGTTCTACAGAAGGATGCTGAGAATGGACTGAACAAATGATAAAGTTTTAGAGAAAAATGGAAACAAGATACTTAGAATTAGAAAACATCAGTTGAAATTTTTTTAGCTCATAATGAGAAAAGAGGGATTAGAAAATTTGATACTTACAGGAAATTGAAGGCAAGAGGAACAGAAAAAGACTGCATGACCTACCTAATAAGCTTTTGTAAATGCTTGGTAGAATAGGGATTAGGAGAGATAGCAATGAGACAAAATTTACTACAAAGGACAGGAAATTGTGGAGAGCCATGATCATCAACATCCTGAAGGGACATGGCACATAGAAGAAGAAAAACAAGCTTGAGTAAATGGATGGTAGAACAAGGTTTAGGAGAGATAACAAAAAGATAAAATTTATTAAGAGCTACAAAGGACAGGAAATTGTGGAGAGCCATGATTGCCTACATCCTGAAGGGACATGGCACATAGAAGAAGAAAAAAACGAGCTTGTGTGAATGGATGGTAGAACAAGATTTAGGAGAGATAGCGAAAAGACAAAATCTGCTAAGAGCTACAAAGGAGAGCCATGATCACCATTGTCCTGACATGGCACATAGAAGAAGAGGGGAAAATTAAGAGACTCACCTTATAATTTACATTTTCTAAAACAAAGTTTGAACCTGGAAATTAGACTGTGGTTAAGATAGAGAGTGAGAGAGAGCGCTTTCCTAAGTTAGCAAGCTATTAGACTTGTGTAAGTGAAAATTAACCTGGCTCCAACAAGAGAGATGCCAATTGAAATGATAGAAATAACAACAAATTGCTTTCAAGAAGGAAATCCAACACAGAGTAGCAAAAGGTGTCAGCTGTTTCCATTGAGTACAAGTATAAACAAAATGTGGCAGTGTGTGTTGCATAACTGACACGTGTGAAAAATGAAACTGGTATGCCAAATTCAAATTTTAACAATCTGTTTTGCTTACATTTGTTTGTAGTTGCCCAAGGAGAAGGCATGAATTCATCTTGAAATACTGATTCTTATACCATCACTAAAATTAAGCAACATCAAGCCTGATTAATACATAGATGGATTACTGCAAGTTCTCCACTCCCTTAACCAGGTATTGAACTTACACTCTTTGGGTCCTGTCACTGGATCTAACTAACGCCTTTATCCACTATGCCATGTGTCCTTGAGAACTTGGAGAGGGGAATTAACAGGAGATAACTGATAACTGACATCCATTAAACATGGCACGTGGAACTAGAACAGTCTACTCCAGTGAGCAAAATAAAGGGTTCAGTTCGACATTCCAACCACCTGAAGAAGGCCAGAGTGTACAACAGTCGAAATGTTGTAATAAATAAAACGACAAAGATGAGGACAGTAGTCTGAATAATGGTGTCAAAGAATTGATGACCATAAAAGCTCAAGGAGCTCATTTTCTCAATCAGGGTGTGGTTTTCTGGTAATTGCACCACAGAGAAACCTAACCAGTTTCTTCCACATATCTGGGTTGAAAGCCAGAGATATTCATTCATGCATAACATGTCTTAATCAATTAGACCAGGCAGGGCCCATCCTTCTTCAGGTCAAACCACTTTTTTTTTTTATTTCTTTAAACATTGAGTAATAGCCTATTTTCCCCTTCATTTGGTCTGGAAAAAGTGCCATTAATTTAATCTAATTTGTTTGAGATATGTTACAAAACATTCAACAGAATTTATCTTGTCTCCTATCTGTGATTAGTTTATTTAATATGAAATAAAGAAAACCCTGTCTGAACATCTTCTGAATGTGGTGGCTTCATAATTTTTGCCAGGGTTTGTATATATTAACATCCTTGTCACTGCTAAAGATAAGTGTTATTAACTTAACTCCCAAAGGGCACCCAGGAATCACTCCTGCAGACAATGAAAAAAAAAAACAAACCACAAAGCCTAAACGACGGGTGGATTGCTTAACATAAGAGCCACATACAATAAAATTCAGATGTTTGAGAGCTGCCAG